CTCGAAGATGCGTCTCTTGTCTTCATTTTCCCTACTAAGATTTTGGACGCATTTCTCATCTCACACCATATTTCTTTAAGATCCATTTTAATATTATCCTCCCATACACAACTACGTTCTCGAAGATGCGTCTCTTGTCTTCATTTTCCCTACTAAGATTTTGGACGCATTTCTCATCTCACACCATATTTCTTTAAGATCCATTTTAATATTATCCTCCCATACACAACTACGTTCTCGAAGATGCGTCTCTTGTCTTCATTTTCCCTACTAAGATTTTGGACGCATTTCTCATCTCACACCATATTTCTTTAAGATCCATTTTAATATTATCCTCCCATACACAACTACGTTCTCGAAGATGCGTCTCTTGTCTTCATTTTCCCTACTAAGATTTTGGACGCATTTCTCATCTCACACCATATTTCTTTAAGATCCATTTTAATATTATCCTCCCATACACAACTACGTTCTCGAAGATGCGTCTCTTGTCTTCATTTTCCCTACTAAGATTTTGGACGCATTTCTCATCTCACACCATATTTCTTTAAGATCCATTTTAATATTATCCTCCCATACACAACTACGTTCTCGAAGATGCGTCTCTTGTCTTCATTTTCCCTACTAAGATTTTGGACGCATTTCTCATCTCACACCATATTTCTTTAAGATCCATTTTAATATTATCCTCCCATACACAACTACGTTCTCGAAGATGCGTCTCTTGTCTTCATTTTCCCTACTAAGATTTTGGACGCATTTCTCATCTCACACCATATTTCTTTAAGATCCATTTTAATATTATCCTCCCATACACAACTACGTTCTCGAAGATGCGTCTCTTGTCTTCATTTTCCCTACTAAGATTTTGGACGCATTTCTCATCTCACACCATATTTCTTTAAGATCCATTTTAATATTATCCTCCCATACACAACTACGTTCTCGAAGATGCGTCTCTTGTCTTCATTTTCCCTACTAAGATTTTGGACGCATTTCTCATCTCACACCATATTTCTTTAAGATCCATTTTAATATTATCCTCCCATACACAACTACGTTCTCGAAGATGCGTCTCTTGTCTTCATTTTCCCTACTAAGATTTTGGACGCATTTCTCATCTCACACCATATTTCTTTAAGATCCATTTTAATATTATCCTCCCATACACAACTACGTTCTCGAAGATGCGTCTCTTGTCTTCATTTTCCCTACTAAGATTTTGGACGCATTTCTCATCTCACACCATATTTCTTTAAGATCCATTTTAATATTATCCTCCCATACACAACTACGTTCTCGAAGATGCGTCTCTTGTCTTCATTTTCCCTACTAAGATTTTGGACGCATTTCTCATCTCACACCATATTTCTTTAAGATCCATTTTAATATTATCCTCCCATACACAACTACGTTCTCGAAGATGCGTCTCTTGTCTTCATTTTCCCTACTAAGATTTTGGACGCATTTCTCATCTCACACCATATTTCTTTAAGATCCATTTTAATATTATCCTCCCATACACAACTACGTTCTCGAAGATGCGTCTCTTGTCTTCATTTTCCCTACTAAGATTTTGGACGCATTTCTCATCTCACACCATATTTCTTTAAGATCCATTTTAATATTATCCTCCCATACACAACTACGTTCTCGAAGATGCGTCTCTTGTCTTCATTTTCCCTACTAAGATTTTGGACGCATTTCTCATCTCACACCATATTTCTTTAAGATCCATTTTAATATTATCCTCCCATACACAACTACGTTCTCGAAGATGCGTCTCTTGTCTTCATTTTCCCTACTAAGATTTTGGACGCATTTCTCATCTCACACCATATTTCTTTAAGATCCATTTTAATATTATCCTCCCATACACAACTACGTTCTCGAAGATGCGTCTCTTGTCTTCATTTTCCCTACTAAGATTTTGGACGCATTTCTCATCTCACACCATATTTCTTTAAGATCCATTTTAATATTATCCTCCCATACACAACTACGTTCTCGAAGATGCGTCTCTTGTCTTCATTTTCCCTACTAAGATTTTGGACGCATTTCTCATCTCACACCATATTTCTTTAAGATCCATTTTAATATTATCCTCCCATACACAACTACGTTCTCGAAGATGCGTCTCTTGTCTTCATTTTCCCTACTAAGATTTTGGACGCATTTCTCATCTCACACCATATTTCTTTAAGATCCATTTTAATATTATCCTCCCATACACAACTACGTTCTCGAAGATGCGTCTCTTGTCTTCATTTTCCCTACTAAGATTTTGGACGCATTTCTCATCTCACACCATATTTCTTTAAGATCCATTTTAATATTATCCTCCCATACACAACTACGTTCTCGAAGATGCGTCTCTTGTCTTCATTTTCCCTACTAAGATTTTGGACGCATTTCTCATCTCACACCATATTTCTTTAAGATCCATTTTAATATTATCCTCCCATACACAACTACGTTCTCGAAGATGCGTCTCTTGTCTTCATTTTCCCTACTAAGATTTTGGACGCATTTCTCATCTCACACCATATTTCTTTAAGATCCATTTTAATATTATCCTCCCATACACAACTACGTTCTCGAAGATGCGTCTCTTGTCTTCATTTTCCCTACTAAGATTTTGGACGCATTTCTCATCTCACACCATATTTCTTTAAGATCCATTTTAATATTATCCTCCCATACACAACTACGTTCTCGAAGATGCGTCTCTTGTCTTCATTTTCCCTACTAAGATTTTGGACGCATTTCTCATCTCACACCATATTTCTTTAAGATCCATTTTAATATTATCCTCCCATACACAACTACGTTCTCGAAGATGCGTCTCTTGTCTTCATTTTCCCTACTAAGATTTTGGACGCATTTCTCATCTCACACCATATTTCTTTAAGATCCATTTTAATATTATCCTCCCATACACAACTACGTTCTCGAAGATGCGTCTCTTGTCTTCATTTTCCCTACTAAGATTTTGGACGCATTTCTCATCTGACTGTATGTGCTAAATGACTAGCCCATCTGATAATCCTCCCTCCACCGTCAGGTTTCAGTCCAGTGACTGAGGTTAGCTCTTTTCGACCTGAGGACGGAAACATATTCGGTCTCCGAAACGTCGTGTTCTTCTGAACGCCAGGCGACTGATCCCGGATTTCCTTTGTCTCTTTGAGAACGCGAACAGAGTCCAGGAATCTAAGTAGTTTCCGGGTCTTTTACGCATTCCACGCGAGCGGCGAAGTTCTGAGTACGCAAAATGAAAGGACCTTCGCAAATGCCGAGTCTCAGTCCCAGAGCGGAACTTGGAGCAACTCATCAATGGCTGATCATTTATACGTCCGTGCGTCCGCCCGTTTGTGTGTGGCGCCGGGCGTCGGATTAAATCAGAGGAGAGATTCCCCCAGATCTACACAGCGACATCTGCTTCTGTAGTCTCGTACCCAAAAGCTCAACGACTGATAATTTTACCAAAACCAGGCGTCGATCAGTCAAAGGAAAATTGTTGGATAACCTACGCAGAAGACGTAACTTGTAAGACCTGGTCATAGATGGAACAAAATGACTACAAACAAGGAGTGGGGGCGGAGACTTGGATTCATTTGGCGCTCTTTTGTGAACAGGGTAATGAACTTCCGTTCACCGTAAAAGTGGAGGGGGGGAATGTTTTGGCAAGATGAGTGACTACAAGCTTGTCTTGGCAGCTAGAACGGCCTTTAAGGCGACGCGGGCAGCCTATAAATCCGTGTCTCCTGATTGGCAGGTCTCCTAGAAAACTGATTTCCAGCACAATCTCACGCTTGCTGATCCAAGCGGGTTCTCCCCCACCTGTAATTACAAAAACCGGCTCTACCGGATCGGGACGAGGTCCTACCGGGTGGTACGAAAAGTGTTCACCGACTCAGAAGCTGACGGCAAATGAATTCCATATCGAAAAGTGTGAACGTTCTGTGCCCCAGAAGAGTCTTTAGGAAATGTATTTTTCTGCCGCGGAAGAAGGTGGAACAACTGGGTCTGAGACCGTGGCCGATTCAGACTGTCTGCGTGAGTTTTATTAATGACACAGCGACGTTCGTCCTCCCTAAACGCAACCTAACCTAATCTAACCTAACCTAAAATAACCTAACCTAACCTAACCTAACCCAACCTAACCTAACTTAACCTAACCTAAACTAACCTAACCTAAACTAACCTAACCTAACCTAAACTAACCTAACCTAACCTAAACTAACCTAACCTAACCTCGCGCGTGTGTTAACGTTCATAGCAGCGAAATGGTAGATCGATTAAAAGGTTTCAGTCTGATGCGGGAGGGGGGGCTGCTTCAGACACCAGGAGGTGTCTACAAACGAGGCTCTGACAACCGAGTCAGGATACCTTTACAGAATACTGGGAAAATTAAAGCCTAGTATTTGCAGTCACGGAAAAACGTCGCCTAAAAATGTAATTTGTTGAACCCGTACGTAACCAGCCAACTCCACGGAGCGGAGTACTTGAGAACCTGATAGTTGCTCATCTCGTCAATAAATTCCCCGCTTTTATTACTCTATTCATCGTACCAAACCCTAAGCCAGAAGAATCCAAACTACTCTATCACACCCCGCTGTTTTACGATGCACTTGAATCTTGTGCTCACATTTACACACAGACGATCGGGTTTTCTAAAAACCTCGTGTTGAGTTTCTTTCATCTCCCTCGCGTGCTACATGCCTAGTCTACCCTCCGAAACGTCCAAACAATTTCTTGTTACAATCGACCCAACGAAAATCGTTTCCAAATCTTCGTCTGTTTACGACGACGGATGATGAATTGGTAAGGATGCGGAAGGAGGCCTGGATGGACCGAAGGCCCGGTTCGAGCCCTGGACCTCCCAGACACGAGGCAGCTCGGTCTCCACTCCCCTCCCACCCCTCCACAATTTCTTTCCCACCTGATGTGTAAAATTCGATCGGCCGAAGGAGCGAGGACTCAGTTCAGTGCGAGGCAGTGAAAGTTGTCGTGCCCCGGCAAGTAGGTTGTCTGCCAGACAGCTGGCATCTGCGAGTGTGCGTTACAGTTCGCGGCGAAACTTCGCTTTCGGGTTCCAGAGTCTGCGAAGAGAGACCCTTCCAGTGTCATGGCTGCCGGTCCAGTTTGCGTTGTAAGTATGCGATATGCAGTTTCATCGGACTTGTCTCTTCAAGGCGTAACGTAAGCTCCGACTAGAATTAGTTTCGACCTCGAAGCTAGACCAAGGCGATAAGATTCACGCTCCGACCGCCTTTATCCCACACCTAATGGCTCTGAACACTAAAATCGCGCAACGAGAATGCCTCGTCGGGGAATCGAACACGGGCCGTTCAGTAACTTGACGTCATGGGTTCGTTGAGGACCACCCCACAGCGTTCTGATGGCCAAAAGACCCCGAAGATTTCCGTTTAAGACGTCTTTGAGGCACGCGTGAGATGAGAAGTTTTTGGCAAATCGATCCTGAATAAATACATGGATTGTCAAGTCCCCGTACAGACCCCAAAAGAGGTCTTTAGAAGGGGGGACCCACAAAAACGTTACGAAGTTCCCAAAATTCCGTCGGCGATGCGTGGATACGGAAACGCGGAGGTCAGGAGGTCACTCGGAAGTGAAAATTCAACAAAGTCGACCGAACACAGAGACAGGATCTCCCGGGGGGGGGGCGTAGGTCGACGTGAAGTTTTGTCATGGGGACGGGACATAACGTCAGATGCAGCCAGAATTTGAGATCGAATCGAGCTACAGAAATTCTGCCTTGACATTTTGAAAAACGGCGTCAAATTCGGTCTGACCGTCACAGAGACAAACGAGAAGATAAAAATCTGTCATCGTCTAATTAATATAATTCCTGGCTCCTAATTTGTACCGCCTGTTAGAATAAAGGCGTGGCTGGTCGATCTACTTTGCATACCTCAAGGGGACAGCGCGTTTGTGTGTGTGGCCGAGATGAGGGGGGGGGGCCCTGTAACGTGCCATTTCCTACGCAATTGATAAGACACAAGGTTATTTATCGTGTGTACGGTTCTGGTGAATTTATAATGAAGAATGGATTAATTAGCCAAGTGTTAAAAACTGACGGAGAGATGAAAAATCACGTAATTTGTCTAAATTCCACCACATCGTTAAGACTTGTGACGGTAATGAATCTTTGGCTTTCATAAGAGTCTGAGAATTTCTTGACGAAGATAACAGACCATCGGTTTCTGAGGAACGACACTTCTGCACGGATTCAAAACACATTAAAATAGGCCACGACACAACACTCACAAATCCTTTGCAAATCAATGTACTTGGCTCACGCAGATGAAACAGCAGTGTAAAACAGCCAAGGAATAACCGAGATAAAGACGGGAACTTGGAGAGATTGCTCTCGAGACTTTGCTCGCGGCGATGCATACGTAATCAGTGACGTCACTCCGCAGGAGAAAGGACAGAGAGTGAGAGGATTAAGAGGAGAGAACGCAGTGCGCCTGCGCAGTGATTACATGTAAAAGTTTCGTGTATACGGTTACACGGAAATTCTAAGAAAACGATAAAATGCAGGTGACCGGGGGGGGGGGGGGGGGCCTTCCTTTGTCAACACATGTGACCCCCCCCCTCCGCGATCTCTTTTCCTCCGTCTGTCTGATAACGTTCAATTTCTTTCGTATTTTTCCCCTTTTTGATCAAAAACTTCAGACTCGTTCTGCTGTTGGATAAGAATAACTCGGTTAATTAGCTCAAATTCCCAAACTTTTAATCAATACGATGGTTAATTACCGTTTTCACAAGACCCCGAGCCAACCCCGAACCAATTTAACACAGTTAACAAAACATTGTTTATCTAAGATTTGTTTTTAATATTATACTCTCCTTCACGTCCCGATTCTACAGCTAGTCTCTGTCCTGACTGAGATTTTACATGCAAATTTTCCCCCATGCGTGCTACAAGTACCAACCCATCTAACTGACGTGCGAGAAATTCGGCCAGTACTCGGTTTAATTGTGCCCTGGAAAATAAAGCTGGTTAGTGCATTCACTTGCGGAGCGAAAACTTCATTTGTTTCACTCTGCTCTGTCGCTGTAGGAAGCAAATTCTTTTCTCAGCTTCTGTTTTGCAACTTCCGGCGCGAGTCGCGAGTTAAGAACAATAAACTAATTTGCAAAACTTCCACATGCCCCGCTTTGGTTAATCTTGTGTTATTATCATGTTTGCTTAGACCCCACCCTGAAGATGGAGGCGATAGATCCCCAGAAGACTGTCCACACATTTTCACACCCGTGTAAACGTGAAACCTCCAAATAATATTTAAGAATTCGGTCCGTACCGCGAAGAAAACACAACGCCTCACCGTTACAAAGATCAATTGGTTAACGCTGTTTAAGGAAATAATCGCTGTTTATTCTGATAATTAATTAACCCTTCGAAGCCGAAGCTCGTCTAAATAGCATTTAAGAATTCAGTCCGTACCGCGAAGAAAACACTACGCCTCACCATTAAAAAGATCAACTGGTTAACGCTGTTTAAGGAGATGATAAATATGCTCAATGTATACGGATCATTTTGTCCGTAATTACCTTAAACTTCGATCGGCATTTATGTGTTCCGCTCGCAGCGCCACACCTACCGTGGTGGCAATGCTCCGCATGATTTCCGAGAAGCTGCTTTCCCTCGACAAGGTCAGTCTGTCAGCGCGTAACAAAGACAAACAATTGAACTAGGAAGCAAAAGTGACACTTTCTGTGAGATTTGTTCAACAAACAGCCGCTATTGGTCGTAAAATAGATTTATTATTCAAACATTTTACGTGCGCGGGAACCGACATACCATTGTTACCAACATTCGCAAGCTTGCCACGCCAACCTAAAAGCGTCCAATGAGTAATGAACGTGAAAGAATACGGAATTAAGTGGTGATGGTTGTCTGCCTCAAAGCAACCCTGGAACTTACCTGGAGAAACTGAGGAAAACACGTAAAACCTCAGGTCGATATTTGAACCTAGGACCAGAAATGGTTCCTGAAATTTGGTGGGGAAACCTTCTAGAAAAAATTAATCAGAACGTGACAGAGGGAATAAATAAATTCCTTCTGTCACATTTGAACGATCATTAACTCGGTCACGTGACCTTAAAATTGACAAATGGCGGCACTAAGAAAACAGGCCACGTGTGAGCGGACAGGAATAACAGCAAAAGCGACTTTCCTTCTCAGGCACTTCCAAGTAAACAGCAACAGCTCGTAAGAGGTCGTCCCTGCTCGCAGCTGACGAAGCTAGCCCAAGAACCGTCTCGCTGGCTGACCTCCGTCAGACGATGTTTATTTTCTCCACGTGCGCCTTATTCTGGCTTTTACATTTGTCGTGTGGACACACGGAAACTTCCTTATGGTACGAAGTGTATTAACAAACAAATTCAACCAAACCCGTCGAGATTCAACTGCGGAAAAAAAAGTCTGAAGATTTCTGTCTTCTGTGGTATTACGCCGTGAAGTCTGGTAGAAGTTTACCGACGTTTCAGAG